CACCAAAAATAAAGGGGTTTTATGGGGGGGGGGGGGGGGTCCTTTTAAAGTGGAGCGTCACCTTTTAACCCCCAAAATGTGTCCCCATTGGAGGATCTCCCCTCCCTTCCTGTTCCAAGGACAACTAGGACAAGAAGTGAAGGGAAATTCCCCCAATAGGACAAAAACAGCAAAAAACAAAATGCGTCAGGGGTTTTCATTCTTCTCTACTTTATCTAAAATGAAAAAAGTTTTGGCTTTACGGAGTACACTGTACGGAGTCTCGGATAGCTAGAAATAGCAATGCTTGTGAGATGAAACCATGAAACCATGATATCCAAGGAGGCTTTGGAAGTAGCTTGCCTGCCTTGTAGTACTGAGGTATAGGCTTCAGTCAGGGATGGTGGGGACCCTCATAATGGGCACAGCAGGTGTACAGACCCGGGAACTCAGCTCAGGGATGGTGGGAGCATCTCAAAATGGGCACAGCAGTTATACAGACCCAAGAACTCAGCACAGGGATGGTGGGAAACTGCCATTCTGCTCCCTGACAGCGAGGTGTGAGGTTGCTGGTTCCTTAGCTCGTGAGCTTCCAAGTATCCGTGCAGAGTCTTTGGACATATTTTGGGAGAAGTATAAGCATGTGTGTTGGGCCCTGCCGGACTGGAAAGGGCTCATCCCCAAGCTTATATCGCGCCAGCCGCTCATTAAAATGGTGACAATTCTTGTGCACAATGAGTCCATACCACAGGGGTACTTATCTGTGTGGTTGAGGAGATATGAAGAGTTCTTCCGCCTGGACATGGAGGATGCTCAGAGCTCAGCAGCTAGGGTGCCTGTGAGTCCCTCTGAGTCTGTGCCAATACCCAGTGATCCCGTGTCTTCCCACTCTGTGCGTTTGTCTAGTGTGCCTGTGTCTTCCCGGTCTGTGGTGTCCCAGTCTGTGCGTTTGTCTAGTGTGCCCGTGTCTTCTCAGTCAGTGGTGCCCCAGTCTGTGCGTTTGTCTAGTGTGCCTGCGTCTTCCCAGTCTGTATCCAAGTTATCGGTTATCAAGAATGTGTCCAATCCTTCTGTGTCTATGTCTTCTAAAATTGCAGAGGCAGCAAGAGGTGCTGAGGCAGGTGCATCAAGTGCAATGCCAGTCCCCCTCCCTCGGCGCTGTAGGGCTTCTATTAAGGACCGTGGGGTACAGAGGAGTAGTGAAGAGGTTGGCCTGGTGGTGGATAAGGCAAGGGAGAGTGGGGGGGAGGGGAGGGTAAGGGTGGGGAAGCTGTTGATACTGGTTTGTCCAAGGAGGATATGGAGTGGTTGAAGGAGAAAAGGAGGAAGGGCAAAAGGAGGAAAAAAAAGGACTCTATTGCCTCAAGTCCTGAGGTGTTGCCTTTGGCGAATAGGTTTGGGGTCCTGTCAGATAATGATGACAATGAATGGGACTCATTGAGTACAGCATAGTGAGTGATCGGGGCTGCCCGAGAGTGGGAGTGTGGAGGAGTGCTGGAGTCCATGGATCACTTTCTACTTCAGTGCCCTTTTAATATAGAGGTGTACAAGAGGGTGGGGAGGGCTCTGAGTATACCCTTCCTCCCCCAGATGAGTTATGCAGAGTGGGTGTACGGGGCATTCCAGACTCGCCGGGATTATGATTTGGAAACACTTTTTCTAGTTAGTCTCGTAGTCCGTTATTTCCCGTGGAGTGCACGGTGTCAGGTATCCTTGCGGAGTAAAATCCTCCCTGTCCAGGTGGTGGTGCAGGACATTCTGGGTGAGGTCGGGAAGATTCGGGGTCTTGAGAAAGACAGGTGGCAGCAGGGGGCCTGGATAAAGGCGTGGAGGAATATCAGGACTCTGTAGCTGCTGCCTGTTGATCTCGGGGTGTGCTGCTTTTCTCTCTGTCCTTTCTTCACTCCCCTAGATTTTTAGAGAGGCTACATGCATGGCGACGGTGATGTTCCTTAGTCTGGCTCTCTCATAGGGTTTATGCTGTGCGCAATTTGGTTTGCACCAAGTATTATATTTTTGCTTTGTATAGTTATATTCAATTTTTTTGTAAATATGTTTTATTTATTTATTATTGTTTTCTTGTATATAAGTTCTTGTTTGTAAGAATTTTCAATAAACAAAATTAGCCCCTCATAATGGGCACAGCAGTTATACAGACCCAGGAACTCAGCTCAGGGATGGCAGGAGCCCCTCATAATGGGCACAGCATGTATGCAGACCTGGGAACTGAGCACAGGGATGGTGGGAGCTCCTCATAATGGGCGCAGCAGGTGTACAGACCCGGGAACTCAGCACAGGGATGGTGGGAGCTCCTCATAATAGGCACAGTAGGTGTAAAGACTCGGGAACTTATCACAGGGATTTTGGGACCTCTTCATAATGGACACAGCAGTTATACAGACCCGGGAACTCAGCTCAGGCATGGTGGGAGCCCCTCATAATGGACACAGCAGGTGTACAGACCCGGGAACTCAGCTCAGGCATGGTGGGAGCCCCTCATAATGGGCACAGCAGGTGTAGAGACCCGGGAACTCAGCACAGAGGCCCCAACAATAGAGTCCCTGAGAGATAGAAGAGACTGTCATGGGGTTTAGCTCTCCAGCATCTACCAACTAATATCAGTTTTGGGTGGACTGATCCTTTAATATAATGATGAGAAATGTTCTTTCTCTCTTCCTCAGCTCATCAAGAAAGTTATACAGCTGGGTGACACTTCCTGCCTTTTGCCCATCATGGATATTTTCATAGAAGAGGACCGCAGACTGATGCGGAGTCACTGCCACGCCAAGGGCATGTCCATACTACAAAGCAGGCAGGGGGAGGATTACCTAAAGGAGGCCGTGGCCTATTTATCGTTCGCTATTATAGCATCAGGTACGATAACACTGCCGATCATTTATACCGATGACAACATGAAGTCAATATATACCACATCCATTACAGCGCCCCTAAGCGCAAAACGTTGAGAAACTAGGCTCCTCCTCTGTTAAACCTTCAGAAACGCTGTATCATGTCAAATTACAAACAATCATGTCTCTGTTAAGTCTGATTATCTAATCATGTTAACCTCTTGCCGTCCGCCCGTTAAGAAAAGACGGACTGCAGACTCGCATCAGCGGGTTGCCGTCGCCAGACGGCATTTTTTTCCTGCTCACGCGTGCCCCCTAGCGCACGCGCACGGGCAGGAAAGACCCGCTCGTTACTACAGCCGTTAACGGCTGTTTCACATACAACCGATCAGCGGCTCTATAGCCACCGGTCGAATGCGATCCGATCGGCAATTTTCTGCGGGCAGCAGGCTCAAGGGTCAGATGCTTCGGGCCCCACAACCTTTATTCGGCCCGGGGCAAGTGCCCTCTTTGCCCTGCGTTAAAGACGGCCCTGGCTATGGCATGTGCTGGAACATCCATGCACAGTCTATAGGAAATACAGTATGTAGATCGGTCAACCTCCATGTACTTGTGCTCAAAGGACACCCTAATAATGTGCACAACCGGTGTACCGACCTGGGAACTCAGCTCAGGGATGGTGCCAGTGTACAGACCCAGGAACTCAGCACAGGGATGGTGGGAGCCCCTCATAATGGGCACAGCAGGTGTACAGATCTGGGAACTCAGCTCAGGGATGGTGACAGCCTCTCATAATGGACACAGCAGGTGCACAGATCTGGGAACTCAGCTCAGGGATGGTGGGAGCTTCTCATAATGGGCCCAGCAGGTGTAGAGACCCAGGAACTCAGCACAGGGATGGTGGGGACTCCTCCTACCGTATTAGCTTCCAGTGCCACAGCCCACTTCAAGGGTCAGCTCTCGATGGAGTCAAGTAGTTAACCATAAATAATAAAAACGTTTTGGTTAGTTAACAAGTAAATCTTCCACTAAGCGCTCAGCGCAGGTGTTCTGGCAAAGTGTGCGAATGATTCAAACATCTGTGCAATGTAGCCGAGCAAATAGCGGTCAATTGTCAGGGGTAAAACCGATGACGTTTATATCGTTCGCATTTCTAAACAAAAAGTTTTGTTTATTTACGGATAGGAGGCCATGCCAAGGACTCGCTGCTGGCCAGAGGCAGATGTTACGGGCAGCTGGGACAGAAGAAGACGGCGATATTCGATTTCAACACCATGCTGAAGGAGGAACCCGACAATGTGGAAGCTCTGTGTGCAAAAGGATTCATGCAGATGTCTATGAACCAGCAGAAGGTACTTCCCCAGATCACCCGTCCAGCAATATGTGACGATAGCTAGACCTAGATGCAATGAGATAGATAGATAGATGAGAGACAGCCAGGGCAGAGAGAGAGCGAAGAGAGACTGCCAGGGGAGAGAGAGAGAACGAGGAGAGACAGCCAGGGGAAAGGGACTGAGGTGAGAGAGAGCAAGAGCAAGGAGAGACAGCCTGTAGAGAGAGCGAGAAAGGAGAGACAGCCGAGGGAGAGAGAAGAGAGAGCGAGGAGAGACAGCCAGGGGAGAGAGCAAGGAGAGACAGCCAGGGGGGAGAGAGAGAGAGCGAGGAGAGACAGCCAGGGGGAGAGAGAGAGAGCGAGGAGAGAC